CTGCACCAGGGAATCATGGGACAACATCAGGAAATCATGGGACTGTACCAGAGAATCATGGGACTGTACCAAGGAATCATGGGACTGCACCAGGGAATCATGGGACTGCACCAGGGAATCACAGGACTGTACCAGGAAATCATGGGAATGTACCAAGGAATCATGGGACTGCACCAGGGAATCATAGAACTGCACCAGGGAATCATGGGACTGTACCAGGGAATCATGAGAATGTACCAGGGAATCATGGGACTGTACCAGGGAATCATAGGACTGCGCCAAAGTGTCATGGGACTGCACCAGGGAATCATGGGACTGTACCAGGGAATCATGGAACTGTACCAGGGAATCATGGGACTGTACCAAGAAATCATCGGACTGCACCAGGGAATCATGGGACTGTACCAGGAAATCCTGAGACTGCACCAGGGAATCATAGGTCTGCACCAGGAAATCATGGGAATGTACCAGGGAATCATGAGACTGTACCAGGGAATCATGGGACTGTACCAGGGAATCATGGATCTGTACCAGGGAATCATGGATCTGTACTCGGGAATCATAGGACTGCACCAGGGAATCATGGGACTGTACCAGGGAATCATGGGACTGTACCAGGGAATCATGGAACTGTACCAGGGAATCATAGAACTGCACCAGGGAATCATGGGACTGTACCAGGGAATCATGGGACTGTACCAGGGAATCATAGGACTGCACCAGGGAATCATTGGACTGTACCAGGGAATCATGGGACTGTACCAGGGAATCATGGGACTGTACCAGGAAATCATGGGACTGTACCAGGGAATCATGGGACTGTACCAGGAAATCATGGGACTGTACCAGGGAATCATAGGACTGCACCAGGGAATCATAGGACTGCACCAGGGAATCATGGGACTGTACCAGGGAATCATGGGACTGTACCAGGGAATCATGGGACTGTACCAGGGAATCATGGGACTGTACCAGGGAATCATATGACTGCACCAGGGAATCATAGGACTGCACCAGGGAATCATAGGACTGCACCAGGGAATCATGGGACTGTACCAGGTAATTATGGGACTGCACCAGGGAATCATGGGACTGTACCAGGGAATCATGGGACTGTACCAGGGAATCATGGGTCTTTGCCACAATTATCAAATTTTATTTGCATATTTTAATAACAATGTCATGTTACTGAAAATATTTATAATGGGGTATTTCAGAAACTATGAACTGGCATTCACTCTATTCTACCTAATGCAATATCTGTAGTGTGGAACTCATAGTTGCATGACAACATGCACCATCAATGTCAGCTTTCAGTGTTTCAGTATTAGCGTCTTTCTTACTATACTATTATTATCGATAAGCTCTAAGTGAAAACAATTCTTTTACTTAGTTTTGTTAGTGAGGCTCACAAAGGCCTAATAGCAATTACTTCTACCTCATATAGCTACACTTACGATAAACACTTAGTCTAGATTAGAGCTGGATAGATTCATAACAAATTTTCAAAAGAAAATGGTCAGTATTGTGTGCATTTTGTATTCAAATAAATCTTACTCTCGGTGTTTATTATATTACAGCATAAATAGATGGTTGCCGTTTTTTCTTAAGTGGAACACTGTCCAAATTTTTTGATAAATTATTGAATTTATCACACTTGTACCTAAATTTGGAACCTTTTAAAATTGTAATATTTAGA